AAGACTTTGTCTCACTCTGGGCCTGGTATCAGGAGGGCCCAGTCCCTGGAAAAGAACGCCAGGCTTGGGACAGTGGAAGGTATGTGAAAAAGACAAAGAGCCTCAATGAGATGAATTGACACCGTGGCTGCGACAATGGTCTCAGACACAATCAACAACTGTGAGGCTGGCGCAGGGCTGGACGGGGATTCTTTCTGTTGTGCATGGGGTCTCTATGCATCAGAACCAACCTGATGGCACCTTACACCAACAACTGGCAAGACCGTCAAACAAACAGAGCGAAAATCAAAGCAAGTGTGAGAGACAGCGAATAGGAACGTTACAACTGATCCTACAGAAATAAAGAGCTCTGGTAGCATAGTGGTTACGAATCGGGCTGCGAATCTCAAGGTCAGCAGTTCGAAACTACCAGCTGTTCCATGGGAGAAAGATGAGGCGTTCTGCTCCTGTAAAGATTTATAGCCTCGGAAACCCTGTGCAGGGTCACTATGAGTCAGAGCCAACTCCACGGCACATAACAACAACAATGGAAGATTATGAATAGTTGTATGCCAATAAGATGTTAGGAGAAATGGATAAATTCCTTTAAACATATACAACCCTTGTAGGATAAGCACTGGACTACTAACCACTAGGTCAGTGGTTCAAACCCACCAGCTGCTCCTTAGAAATTCTATACAGGGTTTTGAAGTTGGAATCAACTCAATGGCACTTAACAACAATACATTGACTAAATTGTTGTTCAGGCATAATCAAGTCTATTTCGACTCACAGCAACCCCATAAGACAAAGTAGAACTGAATCATAAAGTTTTCTAGGCTCTATTCTTTATGGAAGCAGATTGGCAGATTTTTTTCGCCTGTGGAGCCAATGGATGGATATGAACCGCTAACTTTTCTGTTAGAGTCAAGTGCTTAACTTTTACACCAAAGTGAATCTCAAATGTCCCATAATAAATGAAGAAATTGAATTAGTAGTAAAAAATCTCCCCAAAAGGACAAGTTCTGGACTAGCTAGCTACACGTGGGAATGCGATCAAGCATTTATAGAAGTGACTCCAATGATATTTACACTCTTCAAAAAACTGTAAGATGAGAGAATGGTATCAAATTCACTTTATCAATATACTGATACCAAACCAGACAAAGACACTGTAAGAAACGAAAACTGCAGACCAATACACCTAATGAATATAGACTCAAAAATACTCAACAAAATCCTAGCAAACTGAATACGAAAGTATGTTAAAAGGATTCTACGCCATGATCGCGTGGGATTTATCCCAGTAATGCTAGAGTGGTTAAATGTTAGAAAGCCAATCAGTGTTGTTGTTAAGTGTCATCAAGTCAATTCCAACTCATAGTGACCCTCCTGTATCAGGTTTCCAAAGAGAGGCAGGTGAATCTGAACCACCGACTCTGCAGTTCAAACCGACCTTGTGGTCCAGTGTATTATCCCACAGCACCGCACCAGGACTCCAATTAATGTAATACACCACATTAGTAAATACCACACAGAAAGCAAAAATGGGGGAAAGAGAAAAAGCCCACATGATCACCTCAATCGACACACACAAAAACAGCATTTGACAAAATTCAACACTATTTCATAACCAAAAAAAAGTCAGTAAGACAGGCATAGAAGGGTAATTCCTCAGTATAATAAAGGATAGCCATGAAAAACCCACAGTTAGCATTACATTCAAGGGAAAAGCATCTGAAAGCATTCCCTGTAAGATCAGGAATGCCACAGGGAGATCTACACATCATCATTCGCATTCAACATCTTTACCTAAAGTATCAAGATTGTTGTTAAGTGCCGTCGAGTCGGTTCCGACTCATAGCGACTCTGTACAGGGTTTCCGAGGCTGTAAATCTTTACGGGAGCAGAACGCCTCATCTTTCTCCCGCGGAACTGCTGGTTGTTTCGAACTGCTGACCTTACAGTTCACAGCCCGATTCGTAACCACTACGCTACAGTATCAAGATTAAGAAGCAGGAAATAAGACATGATTTTGCAGAAGACATGATTCCATACATAGAAAATCCCAAGCAACCACAAGGGAACTCTCAGAACTAATAAATGAATTAAACAAAGTGGCAGGACACAAGGTCAACACACAACAATCTGTTGGATTTCTAGTCATCATCAATCTGAAAAGGAAATTAAAGAAACATCACTAATAATAGCATCTAAAAGAATAAAATGCCTAGTAATAAATTTGAACCAAGAAAAGACTTGTATATAGAACAACACAGCTAAATCAAAGAGGACCTAATAAAATTGAAGGACATTCTGTGGTCATGGGTTGGAAGGACTTAAAGCAATATATCAATTCAATAAAATCCATCAAAATTCCAACAGCCTTGTTGATAGAAATGGATAAGAAATCCTCAAATTGATATGAAAGGACAAAGGGACCCAGGTAGCTACAGCAATTCTAAAGAATAAAAGTTGGAGGACTTACACTTCCTGGTTTCAAAATACACTATTTTTTGTTGTTATATGTGCCGCAGAGTCAATTCTGACTCATAGCAACCCTGTACAAGGTTTCCAAGGAGCAGCTTGTGGGTTTGAACTGCCAACCTTGTGGTTTAAAGTCCAGTACTAATCCCAGAGTGCCACACCAAGAGTTAGAAAATATACTATTAAGCTACAATAATTAAAACAGTCAGACACTGGTATTATGATAGTCACATGGACCAATGGAACACAACTGAGAGCCCAGAAATAAATCCATACATCTATGGTCTTCGACAAGGGTGCTAAGTCCATCCAATAGGAAGAGTCTCTTCCATGAAAGGTGCTGGGAAAATGGATCTGCACATGCGGAAGAATGAACCAGGATCAAATCCTTACACCATACACAGAAACCATTTCCAAATGGATCAAAGGCTTTAATCTTAAAACTAAAACCAGGAAAGAAGAAATCACAGGACAAAGCTGTGAGGTTTTGTGATCTGATATGACAACAAAACCACAAACCGCAAAACCCAAATTATGTTGATTAATGAAACCACATAAAAATTAAGTACTTCTGTTCATCAAAAGACTATCAAAAAGTGAAATACAGGCTACAGTAAGAGAAAGCTTGGGGGAACCATATAGTCAATAAAGGTCTAATATCCAAAATCCATAAAATACTTCTACAACGTAACAACAAAAAGATAAACAACTCAATCAAACAATGGGTAAAGGACATGAACAGTTCAAGAAGAAAGATGGTCAACAAATCAATGAAACAGAATGCCGTAGAGTCGGTTCTGACTCATAAGGACCCTGGATAGATTTTCAAGAAGTAAACTGGTGGGTTTGAACCGCCACCCTTGCAGTTAATAGTCCTGTGGTCATCCTACGGGGCCACACCAGAACTCCAAAAACTTTACAGGAGCAGAAAGCCTCCTCTCTCTCCCACAGAATGGCTGGTGGATTGGATCTGCTGACCTGGTGGTTAGCCTTTCAAACCAGACTAGAATACACAGATGGGGAAGAAAAGCGCCAAAACTTTGGATCTAAGAATAGCGGTATTACAGGACTCGGTGTTCAGACTCCCAGAAGACGACAATTCCCAATTAAATGAGTCATCTAGATGGAAAAGTTCAATATCCTGACATGTGCCTACTCACTTTCTTATAACTCCATCCTCAATTTGCTGTCCCCACCCCAATTCCTCTTGTTTCCAGAAAACTTTTGAGAAGAAAACAAACATACACAGAGAGTCCCTAACTTATGACTAATTCAAGTTACCTGAACGTTCGAACAACGGTCTGCTTAAGGTTTTTAAAAAACATTTTATCACCAGCTGCATGTACTACAGAGTCCTGGGGTGGTGCTATAGGTTAATACGCTGACTGCGGTTTGAACCGCGAGGGCAGAGGTTCAAGCTGACCAGCCGCTCCTCAGAAACCCTACACAGGGTCACTATGAGTCAGAACCGACTCTACAGGGCTTAATAACAACAACAGCATGTACTACATAAAATGTTGCAGGGTGTAATTTAATGGTATTCTCAGATGCTCCCTCGCAGATGTTCAAGTTTATGATGGACTGTTCAAAACACTGTGTGCTTAGAAATAAAAACTTTAAAAAAAGAGAGAGAGAGAGAGAGGTATCTGACTTATATCAGCACAGATTTACAATGGATTCACAGGAACAGAAAGCCATCGTAAGTCAGGGACTATCCCTACTATGAAAGACCCATCGTATGCTTATAATGTTCATCAGTGGGACAAATCTGGAATTTTCCAAACCAAAATCTAACTTAGTTTTGAAAAAAGGTCAGCCACCAGTTTTACAAGGGAGAGGTTGCTCATGAAAATTGAAGGATAATATGAAGCTTAGCACCAGGGTGATTTTCTCCCAAATTACTCTGTATTTTCCTAGAAAGAAATCTAAGTAAAGAACACTTCTCACTCAAGACGACACCAAGGGATTACCCTTCACACCGCTTCAGAGTTCCTTTTATTTGTTGTCAAGTCTCTGAAGTGAGTCCCAGCTGACACAGATGCTGAAGAGTCACGTAAACCAAAACGGTGGAGGTCACAGGGGGGTAGGAAAGATAGCCAGAGCCAACAGGGCCCAAGACCTGCCTCCTGTCGCCGCTCTCCTTCTTTTGACATTGACCTGACAAGAGTGTCCTCATCACCATTCAAGGCTACAAGTGATGAAGCTGGGGCCCAGGGAGAGAAGGAACGGGAATGCACACAAAAAGGGACAAAGCAGGACATGAGGCACGGCGATCTTATTGCCATACACACGCCAGTGTGCCAGATACAAGAGATGCTTTTAAATTCCATACAATGAATTTAGAGTGTCATGGTTTCAAAGTGGCACCTCAAATACCGTAAATACAGTGGGCTGAGCCATACTGAAGTGGTCTTATGTGGATAAATATTGATTGACAATTTCCTAGCAGGTCCACTTACTGGAAAACATATAAAAATGGTTTCTATTTTTAAAATCAGACTTATTACAAAGAAACTGATAAAAACCTGCCATACCTCTGGTTTGGGCAGCTTCTTTTAAAGCAGCTAGGATGTGAGGCTTCAAGTTATCCAGAATAAATCTTCCTTCAAGACCTGGGAAAAGCGACCTAAGAAGTGAAGGAAAACACAACAATATTTTGATGATGTTCCAGCAATTTTAAGGCCGAGAAACTCCTATTTCAAGCTAGGGAAACCTACAGTTTGGGGTAAACCTTAACGCTCACATCAAATCAAATTGCAAGCGTTTTTCATCAAACATTAAGTTTTGCTTTCAAAGGTGAGGGACATCAAGAGATGCGTGTACATTCACAATTGTTCTAAATGCCTTAGGCTCAAGTTCATTCTATTTTCTGAGATGTTAACACACACCCTCAAAGTTACACATATTTAATTCATATAAATTATATTTCATTAAAGTAAGTCACTTTGAATACTTATAAAATAAGTTGCTGTTAACAACTACTGATGAGCAACCACCACTCGTCTGTCAGTTTGTCTATACTGTGGTGCCTTGTGAGTTGCTGTGATTCTGAAAGCTATGCCACTGGTATTTTAAATACCAGCAGGGTCACCCACGGTAGACAGGTTTCAGATGAACTTCCAGATGAAGGCAGACTAGGAAGAAAGAGTGATGAACTACTTCTGAATATTTAGTCACTGAAAACCTTACAAATAGCAGAGAAACACTATCAGATATAGCGCCGGAAAATGAGCCCCTCAGGTTGGAAGGCACTCAAAATGCAACTGGGGAAGAGCTGCCTCCTCAAAGTAGAGTATGGTGATGACGCGAATGGAGTAAAGCCCATGGGAGAAAAGCCCACGGGACCTTCATTTGCTGATGGGCACAGCTCAAAATGAAGAGAAACAGCTGTAAACATCCATTGAAAATCGGAACATGGAATGTACGAATTATGAATCTAGGAAAATTAGAAATTGTCAACAATGAGATGGAACGCATAAACCGATATCTTAGGCATTAGTGAGCTGAAATGGACTGGTATTGGCCATTTTTAATCTGACAACCACATGGTTTACTTGCCAGGAATTACAAATTGAAGACGAATGGTGTTGCATTTCATTGTCAAAAAGAACATATCCAGATCAGTCATGAGGTACAACACTGTCTGTGATAGGATATCTATGCACCTACAGGGAAGACCAGTTAATACCACTATTATTCAAATTTATGCACCAACCACTAAAGCCAGTGAGGATGAAATAGAAGAATTCTACCAAATTCTTTAATCTGAAACTGATCAAACATGCAATCAAGATGTATTGATCATTATTGGGAACAAAGGTTGGGAACAAAGAGGAAGGATCAGTTATTAGGAAATATGGCCTTGGTGATAGAAACGATGCTGGAGATCACATGACAGAATTCTGCAAAATCAATTATTTGTTCATTTCAAATACCTTCTTTAGACAACATAAGAGATGATTATACACATGGACCTCACCAGATGATATACACAGAAATCAAATTGACTACATCTGCAGAAAGAGAAGATAGAAAAGCTCCATATAACCAGTCAAAACAAGGCCAGGGGCAGATTGTGGAATAGAGCATCAATTGCTCATATGCAAATTCAAACTGAAGTTGAAGAAAATTAAAACAAGTCCACAGGAGGCAAAATATGATCTTGAATATATCCCACCTGAATTTAGAGATCATCTGAAGAACAGATTTGATACATTAAACACTAAAGACCGAAGACCAGAAGAGTTGTGGGATGAC